ATCTCTTTAAGAATACTATAGAATTATAAAATCCTATTAACATGCAATATTTTCTTTTCTCTCCATCTTTAAAGTATATAACGATCGTATTCGGTTTTCTTTATATTGAAACGTACGACTTAATTATGTTTTAATCGTGCAAAAAATATATACTTACAATACCCAAATTCTCCAGCTCGTCTATATAATATACAGAAATTTCGTACGGACCACCTCTGGGTATATCGATGATTGGCGCAGGTAGAAGTTGATTTTCCATAGGCGTTGAAAAATACGTTGAAAATTTATCCACATCGATTGTCGCGGACATTAATATAACTTTAACCATCGTAGAATTTGTACGTAATAATTTTCTCACTACCAATATAAGGAAATCCATATCTTCGTCGCGTTCGTGTACTTCGTCTAATATAACATGAGTGTAGTCCATCATATGCTTCTTGTTTGTGAGTTTATTTAAAAGTACGCCAGTCGTGCAATAAGTTATGCGAGTGTCGCGGTTTACATTTTTGATTAAGCCCATTTGATATCCCACAAGTGTACCAACAGGCCAATCTCTTTCTTGACTGACCCGTTTCGCAATACTCATGGCAGCAATACGCCTTGGCTGTGTTACTACAAAATATAAAAGTTCTTGTATTACATTGGTAAGATATTATTAAAATTAAAGTACAGATAAAGAAATTTGAAAAAAAAATTGAAGTATTCTACTGGACATGCGGATAATGCAATCTAAATCCGATGAAAAGAAGATACCTATGATGTTGCAATGCTGCCTCCTTTCAAATTCTGCGTCAAGAATAAGTTGTGGCACTTGTGTCGTTTTCCCACAACCCGTAGAACCACGAATGATGACGATAGAATTGCTCGCAATCATAGACACAATTTTATTTCTCATAGACAGAACAGCTAAATTATTCTTGGGCCGATAGGCAAAGTTATATGTTTGGTAAAGCCGAATAGTATCTTCCTTGCGAACTGCTATTTCTCCAGATATCTCAGATATGTCATCCATATGATCATTGTTGAAAAATATGTTGTTTTTCATCTGCAAGAAATGGCAAGAACAAAATAAGACGAATGAAATTTAGACTAGTAAATTATTATATATATCTTAATGCTAATCACCTGGATGTACTCTTGTTCGTCTTCATGTACATATTTCTTTACATATTCTGTTTCTGATTCCTTGCTACATTGACTGGTACTAGGAGAATTAAATTCTTTATCAAGTATATCTTTATTTACATATTGTTTAATAGAAGGAACAGGCAGATCTATCTTGAGAGGCTCAGTTGATTTATATGCATTCAGAATACGGTCCACCAAATTCTTATTCATTGTTGTAATCTAAATATTGACCTGCTTAAATAAATTATTAAAAATTCATATCAAATTACAAAGCCTCTATACATATTTACATAAACTACTATTAATTATGTTATAATATACTTTTAAAGAATTTTACAAAGTCTATAATTTCTTCGTTAGTACTGAAACAAGAAATGCCCAAACCATATCAATTTATTAAGCTTTCAATTTATTTCTTATTATGACAGAACGATTTTGGAAATAAATATAAACAAACACTAATTTCTTTAATAAGAAAAGAAAGGAAGTTTTGCTTCTTTTATGAAATCTTAATCTTATCTTTTATAATGAGATGACAGTAATATAATACAACCAAAGAGTAATAAAAGAAAAGTTAGAAGAGCACGTTTAACAACTAACCTCAAAAGCACAGGATCGCAGAATAATCACCCAAAATAAATCACAGTTATGATAAATGGCTGTATATTCGCAGTTTCTACTCTTTCTACTCTTTGTTCTTCTTAAATGGAAACTCGGTCTCGTTTGGAGAATAAATCACTATCAAGCATCATCAAGCGGCATATCGCTAAGGACATCGGTATTTATGTTTAGTACTTCGAGAATCGCAATATCGCTATTCGAGTTTGAATCACGCCAATCCTCGATCGGATCGACACAACATTTTATTAACGACTTTGACTAATTTAATTGATTTGACGATTAATTTATTAAGCAGAATCTGTATTATTTTGTTAATAAAATTATTGGTAATTATTTAGAATACCATATATCCCTAAAATCTTAATAAAAATACACTCATTCGACGCGTTTTCACTCAAAATGAAAGAATCTGGCAAAAAAATGCGACAGTCTCGTAAACCGAGATATTAAGAGAAGATATCTGTCATCTCGACTTAATACAGCGCTATGTATACGTTCTGCTTTAATTACACAAATTCACTGCTTTAAAAATATAAATTCACTGCTTTAAAAACACAAATTCACTGTTAATGCAAATAATTTGTGTGCTTAAAGCAGTGAATTTGTGTAATTAAAGCAGAACGTATACATAGCGCTGTATCGAGTGGAGATGACGGATATCTTAACCTCTAAAATATCAAACTTCAACGCTCAATATCTCGGTTCACAAGGCCGACCACCGTATTTTTTTACCAGATTCTTTCATTTTGAGTGAAAACGCGTCGAATGAGTGTATTTTTATTAAGATTTTAGATGGGGTATGGTATTCTAAACAATTACCAAATTATTAATATTAATATCGGACAATTTTATCGTTTTGTGTACAAAAAAACCGAATCAGAGACAATAAATTGTACGTATAATGCGAATTGAATTAATCGATTAACTAATTATTATTATTTATTTATTTTATTATATATAATTAGAGCTAAATGCCATCATGCCATGCATACAAAATACCGAGCGCGAAAAGGGTGATTAGAATGAACACAGCCGATTGTCTCACGATTGGCCCGCCGCTTCGATATTTCGAGAATCGCAATGACTTCGATACGTTTCGAATCCTGGTCAGTCACGGAACGCCGGTCGCAACGGTGTCGCGTTCGATGACCCGCGTTCGAAACGTTTCTGTGTTTTTCGCGATCGTCTAAAAGTGAGTGAGATTCTCGTGCGCGAGGAATCTCTCTCGAAATTATTTTGCTATAACACAAAACATCGTGTGTCGCGATCGGCATCAAACGATAACGCCGCGACTTCACCGGTTATTCACTTCTACAAGCTCGGCGGCCATTACGAATCGTCCCTTACTTCGACTGCAACGACAGTGCTATAAATGACGCGCGATTATCACCAGTATGTGAAAAAATAATTCTATTAGTTATATTCATCAAAGTTCTCTGGATTTAAATCCTTTTCGGAAAGAATTAATTAATTTCGAAGTTTAATTCTCCGAGGGAACATTTAAGGATTTAAACTAGGGCTCTAATTTTATTCCGTTTTTCGAAGATACGTGTAAACGTAAAACGTTTATCCGTTTACATTCGCTTTAAAAAAAACGTTTACTTGAAGGTAAACGTTTACACGTTTAATTAGCATATCCGTTTATGAAAGAAACATTTTTCCGAATATACGTGTTTTATTATACATTTAAACGAAAATACATTTACATGTATATTTAACATATCCATCTATGAAAAATATCTTTTCGAATATTTTAACGTTTTTTAATAAAATTAAAAATCGAATTTTTTGCATTTTCTCAATTCGTCACACTCCTTAATAAAGGGATAAACGTTTATATTATAAAAAAAGTGAAAATATTTAGAAAAACGATTCTAATAAACGGATATGTTAATTATACGTGTAAACGTGTTTTCGTTTAAACGTATAATAGCGAGCCCTACACTGAAAAAAATGCAATTTTACATGGAAATTACATGTTCATGATTGGAAAATTGCCTAAATATGATTGGAAATTTACAATTTCCAGTAAATTTCCAAGCATATTTATGTAATATTTAGATAATTTTCCAGTCATATACATGTAATTTCCATGTAAAATTACATGCATTTTTTTCAGTGTAATTTAAACGTCCTTAAATTCTTTGAAGAACTGCGCGCGTTGTATGGGGTATATATTTATACAGAGATATATATAATCCTGTTAGTCTTTATATACTTTATATACAGTATACTTTATATACTTTGTATATAGTCTTTATACTTTTAATTGTTTTAGTATTATCCATACAGCACGGATCGTTCCAATAATATTGTAGCATAATTGAACACTGTAATATGGTTGTGTTCAGCAAAGAAGGTTTTGCATATATCATAAAATTCTTGTAATACGATTGATTTATATACACTTAGATGAGGAACTAAAGATAAAAAAATTAATTATATTAAAAAGTTTTACTGCAGCTGCAAAGCTGCTTTCTCTACGAAACGTAGTCATTTATATTCTAGTAACATTGTAGTAACATTGCAAACGTTACAGCAATGCTGCTGCAAAATTTTGTGCCGTATAATATTAATTTCTAATAAGTTTCATCAAATAAAAGTAGTTGTAGTTATGAAAAAAGTATCTTATGTTAGAATTCTATATTTTTTAATTTATAAGAAATATTGCAAAATCGTGAAAATTATGTACATAAATATTAATAAATTTAATATATATATGTAATATATAAAATATTTATCCCTACAGCACAAAAGTTGCAGCAACATTGCAGCGTTATTGCAAGGATATTGCTGCAAGTTCTATGCTGTATGGTTAAATGCGCATTATTCAAAACTTTTATGAAAGATTCTAAAAATATAATTAAAATTAATTGCATGAATATAAAATAAAATATTACAGAAATAAGGATTATTTCGTTTTTTAAAACTTTAATTTAAGTAAAATATTACAAATGCAAGTAGATAGCATACTTTTGTCTCCAAATCGGCAGACGAAACAAATTTCACTACACAGTTGTCGTTCTGCTGGATTCAATTAATAAAATAGTCGAAAGAGGAATAATCCTACCGCTCGTTATCAGCGATGTGTATTTTCTATTATTGTTCAATCCTTCAATCGAGATTTCTAAAGATAGTCCAGCTTACGGAGTTTGTCTTATGGAAACGTCTCGCGTGTAACGCAATTCCTCCATCGGGTTATCTTCGGAAGTGGAGTGGGGACGACTTTAAAATAGTTAGATCGGCCGCCGGCATCGAGTAGTCGCCGTTTGACCAGTGCACGCGTGGCACGTGACATATCGTACTGAATTACAACGTAATTGATACGATTCTCGATAAGCGAGGCCTCATCGTGTCAGTCCGTATAGTCGCTCGCGCAGTGCTTCCAGCCGCCCCGTTTCTCTTCCTCGCTCTGCCTCTGGTATTAGCTCAGTTATCTTTCACGCTCTATCTCTTCATTCACGAGCGATTTAAGCAATTGCGATACTGAAATCGAGAGAAAAAGAAAGGCTTAGGGCCCAGTTTCACAACTCATGATTAACTCTTAACTCTACCGTGGTTTAACTTATTCCTCATCTCTTTCTAACGCTAGAATTGGAAAGAGATCAGAAATAAGTTGAATCTCGATCAAGAGTTAACCGTGAGTTGTGAAAACTGAGCTTTAATTGCAGAAGCTATGCGTTTCGCGGGTTGTCTTCGTGTTCAGATCCATTATTACAATGCCAATGTTTTGTATCAGGCTGTGTCCTCATGATGAAGTGAACTGCAATGTTCACGAAACGTTGGCACTGTAATGGTAAATCTGGACACGAAGATAACTCGCGAAACGTATAGCTTTTGTATAGAAGGTATACACATGGAAGCCTCAAAAGCATTAGCAGAGGCTGAATTGATGTCGCGAACGAGAGTCGCTCGTACAAACGCTCGAACGACGCTTGATCTCGCTTTGAATTCGTCGCTCCTTTCATTTTCTTTATTAGCTTACTGTTAAATATTTTATCGTACAATCGTGATCTTCGCGTGAATTTTATTAATTGACCTCGGAGAACGCGAGAAAACCATCTGTTGCAATGATCTGTTTGTGTCGCGTAATAAATAATCTTCAATTGGTTAACATTCAACATGCGTGCAAATCTTGCATATTAAAAAGGGCGTTTTTCTCTTTTTAGCGAATGCGCAAATCGAGATTACTGTTGCTTATATAATGCCGAAGCAGTTTACATATTCAGAGATAACGCTTGTTTTCATATGGAAAAAAAATTTTTTTTTTTTCAATATAACGATATATTTTCTCACGTTTTTCTCTACTATATTTCAGTGTCGTACAATTTTCATGTCCCTTATAGAAATCTAATACGAACCAATTTAATATTGAAAGACAGTAATTAATTATTTATTTTAAGTATTAAAAGCACTGTTGTTCGCTGCTTTAATATTTAAAGTAAGTTCTTCAAATAGATAATTAATTGTCTTCCAGTAATAAATTAGTTAATGTTGGATTTCTGTAAGAAATATGAAAATTTGAATATAATTATTTTTAAAGAATTAATATTTAAGATACGACAAAAATAGACGCTATTTCATCCAAATATTTCATATCTTCCTTTGAAATTACTTTTGATTTCATCCTTCATTAGACATTAATTATAAAAATACTTTCTAAATTTTTTGGAAATCTCACTCTCTAAAGAGTGAGATTTTACTCTTTAAAGTAAGATTCGACTCCAAAAAATTTAGAGAATACACGCGATTAAATCGTGATTGCTTGATCATCAAGTTTTGCAAAGAAACATTAAAGAATTACCGTCTATTACATTTAACATTAATACCGCATATACGAGTAAATTTTTTTAGCTGTTCTTAACGAGAAGTTAAGTCTCCCATTGTGAAGATCATTTGTGGAATAATCATCTGATCAACGATGCAATTGTTTTCCATAGATCAGGCTCTGTTCCCGCACGCTGACGCGAACATGGCGCTGTTCCGTGGTCTGTTTGATTTCTTTCTGAACGACAATAAATTAGACGAGAAACTCGGCCTGACCGAGAAGCAAAAGAGACTGGTGCAGAATACATGGGCGATCGTTCGTAAAAACGAAGAGTCGGTCGGAGTCGCCCTCGTACTCGCGTGAGTGTGAATGAATTTTTCATCCGCCGTTTTTTTCATTCGCTCCACACACACTTTTCACTAGATTTGTACTTGTAACTTTGATCAAGCGAAGATCGCAGAAATAACCGCGCCGATAAAATCACGCAATCTTTAGTAAAAGACCTCGAGAATAATGTTTTTTATAAAAGATTTTAATGTAAAATACAAGAATTATAATACGAAATTGGACCGATGAGAATAAATCGAAGTAAGAGAAATCTTATTTTCAGTCTTAGCTAAATATTTACTTACTTAATTAGATAATTAGATAGAAATAAAATGGTTTAATGCAAACTCATTCATAGTGAGCGATAGCCGCGATGCGTTAAGAAATTCTTTCAACGCGAAGCTTCCTCGCTCAAGAAGTACTTCCGCATTCTAACAAGCCATTCATTTAATGATTCGCCGAAACGTATATATCTGGTGCATGATAAAAAATCCATGTCACGCACTACGGACCTCGTCATTAACACCCTCACGTCTCGTCGAAACCATTCGCGTTTGTTAATGCGCATTGCGTCGCGGTGCGTCGCAAAAGATGCGGCAGAATGCGCGCTATGAAAATTTCAACGTTGCTTTTATTATCACATGTGACACCGGGGTAAATTATTGCGACATCTTGCAATCATATTGCGTTGACTATTTTGTGATAGGAGCTATTTACAACTTATCCCTCTAACACATATCAAGGTTGCCACAAAATTAGAAATCAGGGAAATTGAAAACCGAGGGGATAATCTTTACTTAATGTAACAAAGTGTGGAACAAAGTCTCAGAAATTATTATAAAATTGCGATGTACAATCCGATAATTATATATGCAATACGAGAAATAATTGTGTAATATTAGATAAAATCATTTATTTTACCAAATGACTTCATATATAGTGAAGAAAATTATTTGTCATCCGATGAAATCGTATGAAATCAAATGAAATCGTGTAATCTGTAGGATACTGTTTCAGTGGTTACCCCCTCGTTAAAAACGGTCAGGGAAATCAGGGAAAAAACGGGGATTTTGCAAAATTTTCTGAAAAATTAAAGTTCTTGGCTTTAATATGCGTACCTCACACCTACGCAGTTTTAGAATACTATTAACTTAGCAGTTAAATGCAAGTAATTGGCTTTTGCTATATAATGTTTTGTTGTTCCATCTTCTATCTATAAAATATTATAATAATTTAAATAATATCGAATGCAAAATATTAACATTATTAAAACGTCAACTTATGATAATGTAATCAAGTCTAAATTTAAATTCGGATAGTTTAAAGTTATAAATCTTAGGCTTGTCTTATATTGAAACGCGTATAAAAAGCGAAAGAGCATTTTTAAAAATGATGCGTTAAGAAAATTCAGTCTCTTTCATGATATTGTAAATCATATGTACTTACAGAGTAATTAATTTAAGTTGCGCTCACTCATATTAACTTCTGCTTCTGCTTTTTAACAACGAGGAATCACGTTCTTATCATCATTATTTATCTTTACAGTTAATACATAATGTAACAAAATTTCTCTAATTTTTCATTTTTATATTATAATTTCAACGATGGATCAGCCCTAAACGACTTGCATCTTAATCACTTCCTCAAAACTACTCGTTTTATTCGCGAATTCAACACGTAACTTGAAATCATTTTTTATAGCTTTTTCAAACAATATCCAGAAAGTCAAAAAGAATTTAAGTCGTTTAAGGACATCCCTCTCGATGAACTGTCGAAAAATAAAAGGTTTCAAGCGCACTGCATTAATATCGTAGCAACGCTTGGCAAAGTGATTGAACAAATGCACGATCCAGAATTGATGGAAGCGAGCTTAATTAATTTTACCGAAAAACACAAAGCTCGAGGACAAACACCACAGCAGTTTGAGGTAAGTAAATGTTTATTTTTTTATCTTTTACATTTTTTTTTCAATGACGTAACATCAATATATCTTATATCTAAAATTTTGTTTATGAACTTCGATCCATTCTTACTGTCTTTTTATGTAAATAATTTTATAAACATATATTTTTTTTATTTTTAAATACATATTTTTTAAATATAAAAGTTTTTTTATAGATGTAAAAAGATCATAAATATTAATGAATTATCTTTGCTTCTTGTATAAAATTATTTCACGAAATAAGTGTTTCATCTTGTATACTAATACTTATCAGATCAATATTGGCTGTTTTCAGTAGAGAAAATTAAGTGCGCGCTCATTGATCAGTTATTTTCTATTAAACGCAACCATTAACTCTATTTGACTCCATTTGACTCTATTATTAATTCTATTAAATGCAATCATTAATTCTATTTGTATGTTTTTATCTTAAGATATAATAATTGTCATAAATAATTGTAATAAATATCTTTCAGAATTTGAAACAGGTGATACTAGGAGCGTTCCCCTCTTTATTCGGAAAGCAATATACGTCAGAGGTGCAAGAGGCTTGGAAGAAAACCTTGGACTTGATCTTTTCGAGAATCTACGAAGTGTACACAAATTGAGATGCTCAAACACAATCGCGAGTTTTTAATTGTAAATGATAAACCTGTGGCACGTATTATATATCGCTTTTTGAAAATAATATCTATCGAAAAGTTTAATCAATCATGACGATATATTTTTTGCAAGATGATATTAACGAAACTTATATATATAATATATATATAACTTTTTGCACGACGGAGATTAGCAGTTTTTTTTGCAATTATATTAGCATTTTAAGAAATAAAAGTTGTGATTAACGAGATCAATATGATGCAATATTGTGATGAGATTTGTACATATATATGTTTCACGTAACAATAAAATATATCTTGTATGAAATTAGTGCGAAAAATGTCCTTCCATCAAGTTTTACATTAAATAAAGTTAGGAGAAAACCAAAGTTTTTTAGAGACATTTAAAAGTTTTTTTTCTACATAGAAGAAAATATTGAGTTTCGTCATTTTATTGAAAGTTTTTAACTTTATTGACTAAATTTGTTTCATTAATCTAACATGTTATAATATGTAATATTTCTCTCAACCTCTCTTTTTCTACAATCATTTTAAAAACTTCGTTTTTTGATCGATCAGATTGTGCAACATCAACAAAACGTGATGTTAGCCAAATGTGCGTTATTCGATTCGCCTAACCGTGAAATGTCAATTGCTTACCCTTACTGTTTTCTACTAACGTTTGCCGAAACGATAGGACAGGATGATACGGAGAACTCTTGAAAAAACGAGGAATGAATAATACCAACGTGACCATTCACGATATTTTATCAGGTAAGTCGAACGAAGGATTCCGGAGCGATGACATTCGTGGTTGGCACGATGTATTTTAGGACGCCAGGCGATCTCCTTGTCCATACACGTCATCGGTGGCATTATAATCGCGATTATAATTTGCACTTGCTGCTGCACCCTGTTTGTGAGAAACAAGTGTGCGAGGATCGTTGATAAGCTGACAGGGAGACGGAAAAAGGAGTCAGTATATAAAAAAAAACTATTATCTACGATGTGATTCTCAGCACGATTCCGAGATTTAATAAAATATAAAAAGCGACTGATCAGGGTGTAAAAATACGTTTAGAAAGTATTTCCCTCCCGACATCGAGGAAGGACGAAAGAAGTTGCGAAAAAAGAAGAGAACCGTGTCGCCGGACTTGATACAGGCGACGGAAGTTACCGCGCCGATTATCCCAAAGGAACCGGTGAGGGCGGAAAGGTTGGAGACCGCGTCACCGACTCCTTGCTACAAATGTTACAGAAAAAAGAAAAAGAGACGAAGAACGAGGCAAATACGATGAGATCGCGAAGAAGGTTAATCCATAAGTAAACGAGGCAACGAAAATGAGACATCTTTCCGAATTGAAAAGAAATAAAAACATGCTATAACAGAATGATCTTTTGTTTTTATCTGCACGATTCTTTCTCTTTCTGTAACGTCTTGTTTGAAGAAAAATGCGGGCGATCGGTATTTATGTTGTAATCATTGCGATAATTTTTGTCTTAAGAATCCACGGTACGATAGATGTGAATCTGAGCGAATTGGAGTATCTCGCAGCTCGACTGAACCCGGTCGAATGTAGGCGATTAATCGCCGCGCTTCATTATACGACTTATGACTTGCCAAGCAACTTGGCCGCAGCAGGTCAGCTCTCCTTTCCGTGGTTTTACACGAAAAGAACGATTTTGGTGAAGTATCTAAAAATTTAGGTGGATACAAATCGGAAAACAATTTTGTCAGACCATCCAAATAATTATATATACTCTCTAAAACTTTTACAGTGAATCTCACTGTGAAGAGTGAAATCTCATTCAAATATTAAAAATTGAGCCGCTCTTTTTCAAGACTGGTTCAATTTTCACTCTTTACAGTGAGATTTTAAAGAATTTAAAGAGTAGGAAACTCAAGCGTGATAAGCAACGCTGCAAAAGTTTCGACATTCTAATCATTCTAGTAATTTGCATCTTAAGTGTCCTACATAATTTTTTAATAGTTCAACAAAGTTATTTTTAGATCTGTAGGTAAACTTTAGATCTTCAGCAAAATCGTTCTTTCTATGTAATCTTACATCGCAAGACTTTCTTATTAATAATTTCATTTACCCTTCGAATGATTTAATTAACATTCAATCATTCCCGCGAATAAAAGAGCGTAAAGTGGACGAGGAGATCCCGTGTCTGCGTCAACTGCTTCATTGGAATAGTTCTCCCGAGGAGGGCCGGGGAAAGACGCACGCAGCGATTGTACACCGACTTCGACAGCTAAATCGCAACGATCTCGCCGATTGGCTTGGCAAAACCACCTTCAAACAACTGGGAAAGGATCTGGACAATGCTATTACGCTGTCCTTCGACGAGCTCGCCGAGG